TGTTATGCTGCCAAAAAAACAACAATAAGTTTCTTCCATAATTTAAGATTACAAACCTGAGTGTCTTAGATTACCATGTTCTCTTTCTTTTGGTACCACTTTGGTGATCAAATGAAATCAGGATCATTGAACATTGTTAATTGAGTTGATTCTATTACTCTGGCACATTTTGCCACTTTGTGAATAGGAAAACCTACCATGGGTTTCTCTCTCTAACTCAGCTTCCTCCTTGTCCTTTTCTAAATTCCATAACTTAAACCTTCCATTATTGAGCATTACAGCTTTCTCTAGCCTGGCCATCAAAAACTTGCTACTTAGCCTGGCTTCATAACAAGTTAACTGGGTGACCTGTCTTTCCCCATACAATAGGGTCTAGTTGTCAGAACATTCCTTTATTACACCAAAATATTTGCAGAAGGCAAGTTTTACTCAGATAAGCCTGCCACAAGCTGGCTGGTTTATAGTGAATTCTATGTGTCATACCAAATGGCATTCCTAACGAAGAGGTTCTCCCTTGCCTGTGTGAAGACCACCCTTTGAATCCTCACTGCCTTTTATCCCCAGGCTTAGGAATGCTCCCCAGATATCTCACCATAACCACAGATCCCACTGATAGCTAGTAGCAGAATTGTCTCTGCTTTACAGATGAAGAGATTGAAGACTGCAGGAAGCCAAATGACTCAACTGAATAAAACCATCGAACCTGCTTAACTCTTATTCCAAGACAAATGGCACAGGAAGAATTCCTCCAATGCTGTTTCCTAGGATCCTTAAGAGATTCTTGTGCACGTTTTTTGGGTGGGGGTGGGTGGGTGTTTTTTACTCTGTGGAAGGCTGTGGAATTAAGTCCAAAAGGAAGGAAGTTGTCAGCTACTGGGAAGAGGAGTCTGGACTTTTAGGTCAGCTGCTGACAGCAGAGCAAACAAAAAACGCGCCCACCAGCATGCCTGGGCACATGCATGCCAAGCAATATCCTCCTAAGGCTACTGTTACCCCTCCTGATTTGGTACACCTGTGTGTCTGCAGGGGCCCTTGGCCTGCCCCCAAGTGCTACTACACGTGTATGGCTAGAGCCTAGCCATGCCCACGTCTTCTGAAAGGTGCAAGCACCCCTGTCCATGGTGCTATGAAAAGGGAAGGGAAGCCTGCACTGCTTAGACCCTTTGCTAAGCTCATCCAGAACAGACTTTTTCAGGGTGCCATTCCTGCTCTTGGGGGTGAGAGGGGCTCCCAGCTGCTCCAGGCTTCCGAAGGCAGAGACAGCCACATTAGCCCTGAAGAAAGGGGCAACTGTTCCAACCACAGGCTCACTCTGGAACCAAAGGAGAACAGAACATCCTTTTGCTTATTTTACCACATTTGTATAAAAATAGAGAAATGAGGTGGCACTGGCAAGAAAGAAACCCCTTGCTTTGTTCATTTCCTCTCTCAGCTCCTCCTTGCTGTTCCTGACCCCTCATCTACTTACCAGCAGACCCTTGTTGTGAGGTGGAGTGGGCGACTTGAGCTGGCTTCCACTGATGATCTCCCAGGAGAGCAACCTCAGCACAAAAAGGGGCATGCCTTTCAACTTGGTGTTATAATAGGAACCCTGGAGCTCCTGTCCAGGCAAGCATGAAAAAGGAGAACCTGATTTGCTCCCTATAGAAACCAACTCCTAGTGCATTACTTAGAAATAAGTTGACCAAAATTTTATTTTATACCATTTAGTCAGTCAATATCAATATTCTCCTTTTCCTGTTCAGCCCCACTTAAATCTCTCCCATTAATACCATTGTGTTTTTTTTTATTCTAGAAAAGGTATATTTAACCAACTCAAATCAGTTTTTCCAGGGAACAAAGGAGCACAATTGTGAATAACTGTTCTATTTATGTTCCCAAAGGTTAACCTCGGGTGAATTCTCACTGTCTGATTATGGACAAGAACACCATGCATCTAGCACAGATGGCATGCCATTCCTGAAGACAGGTCAGGACTTGTTGTACGTGGCCTAACTTCATGCTTTTAAGAAAAAAATTATTCCCACAGAACATACACACACTGGCCCACAGTTTGGAGTTTTGTGTGAATGTATGGATGTGCCAAGTCCTGGGGCTTGAGCTCGGGGCCTGAGCACTGTCACTGCACCTTTGTGTTCAAGACTAGTGCTCTACTACTTGATCCAGAGCAGCTCCATTTCTTGCTTTTTGTTGGTTATTTGAAGTGTCTCAAGACTTTCCTGCCCTGGCTGGCTTTGAGCCTCTATCCTCAGCAATCAGCCACCGGTGCTTGACCAGGGGACTCTTTTAATATGTAATGCAACCCAAGTTTTGTAGTAAGGGAAGTTCTCCAATCATGCAAGGCACAAGTGGCTCATGCCTGTAATCCTAGCTACTCAAGAAGCTGAAGATAGCACCCAGGCCTTGAGTACTGGCTCCAGTACTGGCACCAAAAAAAAACAAAAGAAGAAAACCTCATATCATTGTTCTGGGGGGTCTGAGGTGTGGTTGGCAATTTGTTCTGGACCCAGGTTACCTGTGAATTGGTTTGCTCCCCTTGTTTTAAAATATGACCATAAGTCATTTCTATGTTGCTCCTAGATCCTAAAACAACAACAAAACACCTGACCGAATTAATTTATTTGAGAAATTGCTGTTGCCTTGAGCCTCAAATTGTAGGGAAGTGAAGGATTTGCTAAATCAAACTGGCCACTTAGGTCCCCTTGGTGACCAGAATAGGTTCTTTCTGTAAGAGATTTTTCCTTGGTGGTTGTTCTGAGTCTGTGAGATCCTTCCTTACAAAGGAAAGGAGGAATATTCAATGTTTCCGCCAGCTGAGCCTTTGAGGAAACCCTCCCCCCCAAATCTCAGGGCTGGAAATGTGAAAAAGAATATATACATGTACATATGTATGTGTATGAGCAAATCCAGGGCCTTGCCTCTACCACTCAGCTGCTCCTCCAGTCCCCAAAATGATCTTTTGTCAATTCTTTAAGTTCCTCATGTGTGGTGCAGGCCATTCTTATCCCAGCTATCTTTATTATTTTTACTGTTTACTGTGTAGAGTTCTAGGATCTCTTTGGCAAGCCAGTGTGGCTGGAAGATGTAGTAGACCTCAGGAAAGAAGTAGTAAAAACACAAATGGAGGGAAGGAACAATTTTGTTTAGCACAGCTTCCTAAATGTTTGAAAGACTGGAAAACAACTCAGAATATTCACTGGTGAGCGTCAGAATTGTTCTTCAAAGAGCACATGACGGCAGACGTTGTAATCACCTGCTATTAAATTTAATACCCCAAACAGATGGTGTCCCACTTTCCCCCCAAAAGAGATTGCTCACCTGATTGGGAACTTATGAACTTCTTTCAGAACCCTTATTCTGAACCCAGCTGCTTCAGTTTTGTTGGATTCGTATATGAATTTGGTTTGCTACCCTTATTTTGAAAATCTGAAAATTGTTTTCGTCTAGTTGGTCCTTGATGAACAAAATCTACCTAATTAATTCATTTGAGGAATGAAATTGTAAGGAAGTGGAGGATTTGTTAAATCAAAGTGTTTCTAATATATCCTCCTGGTGAACTGCGTAGATTCTGTTGGGTCACTTTTAGCTTTTTCTGACAGGGTCCTCATGGCCTTCATTGCAACCCACTTTCTAGTACATTTGTAAGAACCTCCAAAGGAGCTTTCTAGCTAGCTTCTCCCAAGACTACACCCTCCAAATGGTGAACCCAGACAGTCAGAATCCTATCTAAAACCCCACTAATGCAAATAGGTTTCTTTTTCTTAATTTAAAAAGGGGGAGGGGGCTTTAAAAATATATAATTAGAAGTGCAGTAGTAAATCCACTCTACTTTGACTTTGAAAATATTTTATTTGAATAGTAAATATTTATACAGTTGAAACAGTTCTATTGAAGCTTTCTATAAATAGCTAACAATTAAGAAAATAATGTATGTAGAAAAGAGATTGCATTTAAAAGTAAGAGCTGTCGGTTGTACAAGGGCCTTGGGGGCCCTCCAAGCAGAATAAAATGGTAGGTTGTCTGTAATTCCCTCAGATAGGTATAAAAGTTAAAACTTTTAGCAGATCCCTTTAGAAAAAAAAAAGGCTCTCTTCTAAAATGCACAGTGAAATGTCGAGTGGGGGGGAAGGATCACACCAAAACAAATAATCTGCAATCAAATTATATCATAATCTTCATAATTAATATAAATAAATAAAGAATAAATAACAAATACTCATAAATCAACATATACATTTAGAGGGAACTCATTATAGTCCTACCTCAACACAGATGATCAAATCATAAGTCATATGAAATATTGAGGCAGTTACTACAGCATCTTGTGAAAATTCCCTTCCCTCCCCACCCCGTCCAAAACAAACAAAAAACCCAATCCCAAACAGACAACAGTTCAAGGCATTTGTGGCTATACTAAAGAAAACTCTTTAAGCAATTTGATTTGTTCACATACAAAAAGGTAAAGCCAGACTCCAGCAGTTCACAAGCCATAATAAAGCTAATCGTGTGGGAAGTTCAATTTACAGCCTGTGAAATATAAAGGCATTTTATTCCTCAAGATTCACCCAAAACAACCCGTACGCTACAGACAGAGCAGAGAGATTGGTAGGCGAAGAGCAAACCGCAATTCTAGACCATAAACACAGCGAAATACTAGCAAGAAAAACAGCTTCGCCCCCTGTAAGGGGAGGCTTCCAATCACGAGACAAACGGGTACAGCTTTTCTCCCTCGTAAAGAAAGAGATGGACTCCTGTTGCGCCAGGGGGAGAGGGAGACTCAACGCAAAAGGGAAGAGGGGCCCAAAAAGAGTCACAACAGAGGATCGGGGTTCCCATCACCCCACATCGAGAGGAATCGTAGACGATACTTCCACCCCGGGGTGGGGATGGAGGCACGCACCCCTGGCGCCAGACACAGGATCGGGGCACGAAGGGCACACTCTCTTTGTGGGGCTCCAAGCGAAGGCACAGTTCTGGGGGCCCGGGGTGGAGGGCGCGCTCTAGCAGGCCGGGCGCACGGGAACCTGCAGGAGGATCACCTGTCTGTTCTCGGACGGGTGGCACTTGTTGATGTGCCTCGTGAGGCCCGGCGAGCTGTAGAACGTGGCCGGGCAGTACTTGCAGGGGAACACCTGCGCGGCGTGCAGCAGGCGCAGGTGGCGCTCCTGGGCGCCCTTACTGGGGAACGTCTCCCCGCACACTGGGCACAGGTGGCACTCGGCGGGTGCACTCAAGCCCAGCACGCCGGCCGCCTCGCCGTCGCCGGCCGCCTCCAGCGGCGCCTTCTCGTCGGGCCCCGCGTATAAGGCCAGTAGGTCCTCAGCCGGGGGCGCCGGGGGCGCGCCCTTGGCCTGAAGCGCCTGGTGATGTGCTAGCAGGTGCTTGCGCAGATAGGCCTGCCGGCGGAACTTCTTGGTGCAGTGATGGCACTCGTAGAGCCCGTCCTCGGAGCCCGACTCGGATAGGCCGCCGGGGCTCGGCGTGTCCCGGTCGCTGCCGCCTCCGCCGCCGCCGCTAACCTCGCGCGCCTCGGCCCGGGTGGCGGCTTCGGACTCCGGCGCACGCGCGGCGGCGGGCGCGGGCCGCGGTTTGTGCCAGCGGCGATGCGAGGCCAGGTTGGCCGGGCAGCTGAAGACCTTGGCGCACTCGGGGCAGCGGTACTCCACGCGCACGATGCGCGAGCACTTGTGCTGCGCCAGCGCGAACGGATCGGCGTACTCCTCCTTGCACAGCTGGCAGATGAACTCGCCCAGCGGCCGCGCCGCGCCCCCCGCGCGGCCCCGCGGCGCCTCCACGGGCCCTTCCTTGATCTTGAGCCCCAGCACCGGCGACGTGGTCACCTCGTCCTCGAAGTGTAACTTGCGTATGGCCTTGGGTTTCTTGGCGCTTGGGGCCTTGGCTGCCTTGGCGGGCGGCTCAGCGACGACGGCGGACGGGGCCGCGGGCCGCTTGCCCGGGGGACGCAGGGCGGCGGTCGGGGGGAGTGGGGGACCTCGAGCGG